TAAACATTATGTATAAACCACTTTTAAACATAAATAAATCAATTTAAAATAACACCTCTGTGCTTTTTATTAAAATAAAGTATGTTTTGCCAAGTGTTTCTATTTATTAAATACATAAAGGGGTTTACCAGCACCCAACCATACAAGAAAGTAATTGATCTGTGCATACAAGTTATTGATATCCATGTTTGATGACTAATTTAAAATTAAATTATTACATTTATAATCTATAAAAGTGACCACATACTTCCAAACTGATTATTTAAGAAAATTGGCGACTAAAAAAATATACTGATCATAATAAAATTCATTTCACCTTAACTTTATTGTTCAGCATTCGTTAACATTATACACAAGTTTACTTGAATCGATTCAAAATTATTTATTGTTGAAGAATTAATTACATTCTTATTAACAAAGATAGATAAAATAAGTTAAAATTCAAAGGAAAAGAAACAAACAAAATACTTATTCATAAATGAAATTTTTTATTTTAAAATTTTTTAAATTCTAATATCAAGACAAAATATAATATAAAAACAAAAATGCACAACCTAAGTACAAATATGACAATCGAGAAATATATATACAGGAGTATACACATAAATTAAAATGAACTACTTAATTCAAGGAATCAGAAAAATTTATCCACTTTGTAGTATACCTTTTTGAGCAAGAGTTTCTTGCTTTTTAAACATATTTAATGAGTCAGCACTTCCTATTATTAATTAATTGGCAAGAGGTTAAACATTTTTCCAATATACAGGGTACACTACATATTTCAGTTTCACATTTAAATTAGTTATTTGTGTATGCCTTTTATTAGTTCCAATTTTTATCCCTGCTGAGCCACTAAAACTTTTTAATGGTAATGTCTCTGTAAGTTTAGGTACGTTTTGGCTATCATCTTGATCTCAATCTATCAGATAGCAATGCTAGGTATGAAGATTTAAATCCTAGATGTAACATCCTCTTCCAAGTTTTGTGATGGAAAAATTCAGTTTCTGATGAACACTATCTTTTTTACGCCAGAGAGAAACTATATTAGGCTAAATTCCTTACACCATGGCTAAATTCGAAATAAATTACCTACTTTTTTTGTATAAAAGCACAAAATATTTTTTTTATTTGGCATTACTTTTGTACAAGCGTCTATCTGCCTATAGTGACTTTTCTTGTAAGTATTATTGAGCATAACTTGATGTTATTTGACGCAGTTGTTATTTTCTTCTAAATATATTTTCAGTTTTATAATGATTATAGAACTAGGAAATAAAAGTTAAACTTCTTGACAATCATTACAAAATGTAAACAAAGCCATGGAATGGCATGGCAGTGTATAGGCGGCCGTGGCAATACCGATGTTGACGTCATAAAACCTGCGCACCGCTTCACCTGTATCCTTACACCATGGTCGATACTATAAATTTAGTGTAGGCTCTATCTCGTAATGACATTAAAAGTTTTATATTCGGTGTTATCCATGGCAAAAAAGGTTTAGTAAAACGAGATATTTTTAAAGGCGCATGATAATCAAATATATTTTTAATGGAGTTATTAAGAAAATTTAACTTTTCATCCACATTATTAAAGGAATATATTGTTTCCCAATTAAGAGAATGTAAATCTGCATCAAAATTAGCCAAATTAAATTTTGAAAAATCTCTGTATTGCTTAAATAAGGGCTGGGTTTTTTTTAAATTTATGTTTATTATTACGTCAACTGAATTATGATCGGAACTCGGAAAATTGAGATTAGAATGTTTAATTATTTTTAAGTTCTCGGTTAAGATAATATGATCAAGTAATGTTCTTGAGCTAAGAGTGATTCTTGTTGCTTCGGTAACAATTTGCTTCATGTTTAATCCGTCAAGTATAGCTAGGTAGTCAGACGTAACATTATTATTTACAAGTAGGTCAATATTAAAGTCTCCTACACAAATCAAATTTTGAGATTCGATATTCATAGTCGATATAGTATCTTCAAAGTGATCTAAAAACATTTTTAAATTTGTATCAGGTGGACGATAAATATTGCCAATACAAATTGTATTGCGTGTATTTTGGATGGAAATCCACTGTTGTTCAAAAAAGTCATTTTTTAAATGTACACTAGATATATTTTTAAATTTTAAAGAATCTTTAACGTAAAAACAAAGACCGCCACCCCTTGTGTTTCTGTCTTTACTGGAAATATTAAAACCAGGAATATGTAACATAGTATTGGTTATTTGTGGAGAGAGCCAAGTTTCAGATAGTGCCAGAATATCAATATCTTTTTGTAAAATTAAATCGCGTATATTATCAGTTTTAGACTGTAGAGTGTGAATATTTAAATGGGCAATTTTCAGCTTTTTTAGCTTCATGTTTGTATATTGTATTTTAGTATATTCCACCACGGTAAAATATTTATGCAAATGTGTTCAATAAATAAAGTATCAGAATTATTTGATAAAATATAATATTAAAGATAGTTGAAGTAATCCAAAAAAACAAAACTAAGTAAATAAATAACTAAAGGAAACTGAAGAAAGTTTTTTTTTAATAACTACTTGGATATTAATTAGGTAGTTATTTTTTGATGCCGCTTCTCAAATTGCGTTCAGCTGGTGGGCTATAGATTATTTGACCACTTTTACGCTTATTTGTCTTTGTCTTTTTTTTATTTAGTTTTTCCTTATCTTCTGTTTCTTCTTCACTGCTGCTTTCGTTGTTTGCCCCTTATTCTTCTAATCGCTTAAGATCTTCAATGTTATATAGTACTCCCTCGATTTCTAGTCTGGTTCCCTTAATTTTGGCTTGAAGATTTTGGTTTTTGGCGTTTTGTAAGTGATCCTTTAGAACTTTTTGGCTTTGTCTTGCTTCGTAACTTAGGTCATTTACAATACCTACTCCAGAACCTTTTAACTTTTTAATATTTGCGAATATTTCCTGTTTTTTCAAATATGACGTAAACTCAATGTTGATGCGTGGTTTTGGTTCTTTTTCATTACCAAGGTAGATATTGTTTAAATCAGCTCGAGTAATACTGGTTCCTAACAGTGTATTTAGTTTTTGAGTTGTGCTCTTTATGAAATCTGACTTGTCCACTTCAAGTCCAAAAACCACCACACCATTACGACGAATCATCCTTTCATTGTTTATAACTTTCTTATTAATTAGGTTTACTTTGCTTTCCAATTCACCGACTTTTTCCTGAATATCCTTTATTTTATGGTCAATTTTCGATGTAATATCTGTTGTTTGTTTTTCATTTGCTTCTATTAGCTTTTGATATAGTTCCGAAATAGTCATTTCATCATTTTTTGGCATATTTTAAAAATTCTATTTTATTTGGTAACTGTGGTGGAATTAACACCTGCTTTATTTTACTTCTAGTGAACAAAAAAAAAAAAGTTTATCGATAGTCTAAATGCAAGCGAAATTCGTCCTTATTGAGTTATTGAGAATTAATAGATGATGCACTTTTATATCAAATACTGTTTATGTATGCAAAAAAATCTCTCACCAAGTTTGGCCTAGGTAATCTTCCTTATTTTCTGCGTCACTTAGAATACATCAAAGTATTTTGAAGTTTAGTTTAACCACTTTTATCACTAATTAAATGAGGAGCTGAATGATATACGTGCTAAGCGAATCGACTTTCTCACCTCTCGGTAAATTCAAAGAACAGCATGTCCCAACATAATAGCCATGAAAACCACACCGACTAGAGCCATGGAAGTATAGAGCATGAACTAAATACATACATTTTCTACACACATGTTACTCGAAACATTTTTTTAATTGTATATTCATTACCAAACAAAAAAATGAAAAATTTAAATTTTTCCATTACGGTCTATATTAGAGAAATCATATATAAATAAAAAATTATAGAGAATTATATCGAAAACAACTTTTAATTGAAGGATTTTATTCTCCAATAGTAAATAACGATTAGTCCTTGAAGTAAATAAAAAAAAACACTGTATAAAATACCCCCAGATGCTTTGACTATGCCCAAAATTTAATCAGCTTACCGTAGGATGGATTAAAGTTTAAATTTAAAATTGGTGTTTTTCTCTTTATCCGTTTTCGAAATTTCCTCAAATATTTCGAATAGGGTCCCATTTTAGAAAAATCATGTATAGAACAAGAATTGTAGAGAATCCTTCACAAGCAACATTTATTTAAATAATTTTCTTAAAAATTCAAATTTTTCACCTTTTGTTAAATTACTCGAATACGGACCATTTTAGAAAAATTATAGAAAATGCACAAGCAACTTTTATTTGAAGAATTTTTTTCTCCAATCGTAAATAACAGATATATTTTACAAAGTAAAAAACGACTTTCCATAAATTACCCGCTATTCCCAAAATATTAAAGCTTAAGTTTAAAATTTAGTGTTATTCTCTTGATCCATTTTTGAATTATCTTCAAAATTCGAACTTTGTACTTTTCCTTAAATATTTCGAATACGGTCCATTTTAGGGAAATCATGTGTGGGGCAAGAATAATTATTGAGAATGACATCACAAGCAACTCATATTTAAAAAATTTTCTTCTCCAAGCAGTTACTGAGGCCCGTTCTAGGAAGGAAAACTCGATGGAAAAGATGATCTCCAGAGTGGTCTGTAAAGATGATGTGCCCCTCAGTTTATTTTAAACATCACCAGATTTAAGATATTTGTTTCCGAAAATCGGATTTCAACTTTCTAATTCACCAAACACCATAAGATCTATAGTTTCAAATTTTGCAAATATCGTTAAAGCCGATTTGATAATTAAGGTTGAATATCTTAAGAAACAAGGAAAACAATTTTCCTTGAGTTTTGATGAATCGACCTCACAAAAAAAATCACCGATATTTGAACCTAAATATACGCCACAAAGAAAAACACTTTAATCTGGGCTTGATTAGAATACATGGTTCGTGCACTGCGGAACATACTATAATTCTAATAGAAAACCGCTTAAAAAGCTTCGGACTTGATTCCGATACTGATATTGTTGGCATGAGTACTGACGGTGCAAGCGTCATGGTCAAAGTAGGTAAGCTAATGAAGTGCTATCAGCAACATGGGTTACAAGTGTGCGTGGTCGATGTTTTATATAAAAAGAGAGAAGACGAAGTAAGAACGCCAGCAACATCTAATGAATCAGATACAGATGACGAAGGCACAACAAATGATTCTTTAGACGAACAAGGAGTTACAGTAACAATAACGGATCTTTCTAGGGCTAAAGTAATTCCTAGATACAGTGACAAGAACTAAGCCTTATTTTGGATTGCCGCACTCGTTGGAATAGTCTTCTAGCTATGATAGAAAGATTTTATAAATTGAAAGTGTGTATCAATAATAGATATAGGATCTGAAATAAAATTCAGTGATCACGAATGGTCAAAAATAAAAGACTTGATTGACAGTTTGCAGCCATTTAAATTAGCTGTAGAGGCGTTATGCAGAAGGGATTCGACCCTATTAACTGCCTAAACAACACTAAAATTTGTTGCTCACTTATGACTCGGTGTTAAGCACTGATTTATCCGAGAATTAAAGAACATCGCACTGTAGTAACATGAACTCAATTAATAGCTATTTATGTAACCAGTTACGAAATGGCTTATTTTGTGTAACGAGTAAATATTTGCAGGACGAGTGGAGCGAGGTCCCGCAAACTGAACGAGTTACACAAAACTGCATTTCGTAACGTGTTTACACACAAGATTTTTTTCTAATTTTGTCTTGATTATTTATAAAATTGTGTTGAAAAGTGATTCACCATCATTCTTTTGTAGGTACTTACAATGAAATATTTCAGAAAATTGTTGTATTTGATTGCCCTACGACGTTTTTTTTTCAATAGTAATAATAAAAATAAGGGACATGTACAGTGTTGCCGATCTGATTTTTAACATTACCCGCGAGAAATTTGAAAAAAAAACATTTTTAACCATTATCCTTAAAGGAGTACGTCAAAATTGTACCCCCAACATTTCTGGGAAGTTTTCAATAACGGTGTTCAATTATTTAAAAAATAAAACGCAATTTACAGCTTTTCTTTTTTTTTGTTTTCTTTGTTTGTTTTTAAACGTAATGTCATATTTTCAAATGTGAAATGTCACTATTCATTGCCTTTTTTCGATATTTGGTTTTTTTCGATTTTTTGGATTTTTCGATTTTTTATTTTTCGATTTCTAGATTTTTCAATTTCTCGATTTTTCGACTTAAAAGCCAAAAAAGAGGCCGTTTTATTTATTTTTATTTCGTAACTGGTGACATAATCAATTTTTCGTAATCAGTTACATAATGTTCTACTTTATGCAACTGGTTGCATAGAGTAGAACGTTTGGCACTTGCTGCGATTACAAAATATATTACTTTATATGTCAAAATTAGAAATTATAACAAAATGTAAATTAAATGGATAGATCCCATATTATTATAGAGCAGTGTTTCTCAAACTTTTTTGGCGACGGGATCTTTTTGAAAAGCGAAATATTTGACGCGGACCTCAACATATATTTTTCATATTTTTCTTTATTTTGACGTGATAAAAAATGGGCTTTATATTATGCTCCGATTTTACATATTCAATTTTGTAATTGTAATTTGACAATATTACTGCCCATCTACGTAGTCTGTTGGCTGAAAATTGGGGTATACCTTTAGCTGGGTTAAAAATAGTTACCAGAGGTAAATGATCTGTAACTAGGATAAAGAAATGTCCATATAAATATTCAATACATTTATTTAAGCCAAAAATTATTGCAAGGCCCTCTCTTTCAATTTGGAAATATTTTTGTTCGGACTTTGATAAGATACGCGAAGCAGAAGCTATAGATTTCCCACTATTTTTTTCAAAAACATGACATATCATGGCCCTTATTCCCACATTTGATGCATCTACGATTAATTTAATCGGCAACTCAAGCTGAAAATGCACAAGAACATAATTTGTTGTTAATTTATTTTTGATTAATTTAAAGATTCCTTGCAATAATTATCCCAAATCCATTTCACCCATAAAAAATAAAATAAAAAAAAGTCCTAAAGCAAAATCATATCCTCCTTCCTCTTAGTGAAAAAAGGTCCTCAAGCCAGGTCCCTCCATTTTGTGGCGATAGTACTGTTTTTTTTTATTAGGATTATTTTCTTCGCGGCTTTGCGCCGCCCCAGGGCTCCTCCCGCGGAGCACACTTTGAGTAACACTGTTATAGAGAAATACTAAATAATTTTAAAAAACTATTGAAACCAGTTCTGAAGTTTGAGACGAATAAATTGGCAATGAAATTGATATTTTTGTATTTGATTGTATGTTACTCTTTCCACTTCCTGAAAAAAAAATTCCCCATGAAACAAGAAATAGTAAACAGTTTATAATAATAACCTTTATTTGCTACTTATAACATGTACCAATGACTAAGTCCGATTCTGTTTATTTTCAAATCAACAAATATGGCCGTCGACAGAATCTTTAAAAATTAAATAACTCATCGAAATAAATGTAAGTTTCTTTTATCTCAGTCACTTTTCGCACTTTTATTATAAATAAAACTTTTTACAACACATATTGGCATTTTCAACGTTAATTTCCAAAATTTAAGTCACTAAAATACCAAATTAATTCTCGTTGACACATTAAATTTGGATGGACAACGCTTTGACATGTGAAGTTCTCAACTGTGATTGGTGGGTGTGAATAATTTCGAAATGGGATTATGCGCAGTGTCTTATGTTCTATCTAAGGTTTGTATAATCTAAGGCTAAAACTGAGAACGACCACTATTTAATATATAAAATGACTACATAACCCATATTCTTCTTCTTCTTTTTCTTCTTGCTCTTCTTACAAATGTAAAATTCTTTATTAAATATTGGCCTTTTACAACATAACCCGTTTTGTATCTTTCTGTGTAACATTTATAACTTGTTTCAGAAACATTTTCAGTGAAATATTTGACTGAAATATTTCAGAAATATTTCAGAAACTTGTGCTTGAAATGTTATACGGTACGCGACAACTCGGCGATGCAAAGCCGGCGACGGTCAACTCGGCGATGCCAAGTCGGCGATGGCCAACTCGACGATGGTAAACTCGGCGACGATCAACTCTGCGAAAAGGAATACAATAATATAATATGCAATTATTTATTATAATACAATTATTTATTATAATACAATTATTTATTATAATACGATTATTTATTATAATACAATTATTTATTATAATACAATATAATATACAATCTATAAAAAAAATTGATTAGAGAACTTGATTAATAAAATAAAAATATATAAGAGATTTTAAAAGTGGCAATAAAATAAATTAAGGGTTTTAACTACAATTAGGGTTTCTAATACATATTATTAGAAAGCAAATTAAAATATTAAGGGAAAATTTAGAGCTTAAGATTTTTCAATGCAAAATAAAAATAAGATATAATATATTAAAATATTAGGTTATGAAATAAAAAAATTTAAGTAACATATTATATGCTGAAACGGAATTAAAAAATAAAAACTGAAATAAAAAAAGGTTGATTATAGAATATTGTTATTTATTATAATACACATTACAATTATTTATAATACATATATTTATTAAAATACAATATAATATAAAAAAACTAATTCATGTTGTAATTATGTGATATCCCTCTGAGATACTCGATCAAATTTTGCCTGTTATAATTGGTCACTTTATTTAAAATCCTCTCGTCGGCTTCCTCATAACGTTTCCTTTTTGATGCGCCATTGCGCCCGGCAATTGCTCGTTCATAGTCTGCATCGTACGAAGACTGTACCTTTTTTAAATTATCTATGAATGTCCATAACGAAGGATGAGCAATGCCAGAACCAAAAGCCAGTTGCAACTTGCGATGACATGCTTCTGCAATATTATTTGTCCTATCTCGTCCATTCAATGTTCGAAAATAAACGGACCAAACTGCTGATGGAAAAGTTGCTGGCACTCTGGTTCCATTATTCCTAAGTCGACCGATATAATTGCTGGTAAACCATTCTAAAATTGGTTCTAATATTTCTGGCAACTCATTTTCCAATTCGGCAATGGCCTCAATCACATCCTCTTCTGGGACAAATACCAATGATGTTACCATTTTTGCTTGTAGTGCAAATTCGGGATCAGTATTGTACATTCCTAGGAGATTGCAAGAAGATAAATGCTTTCGAAGATTTTTGACCAAGTGGAATAAGCATCCTCTAATTTCGGCTTCTGGGAAAACTTGTCTTACGGCCTGGTGAATTGCCAACTCAAAGTCGACACTGATGCTTTCCGGATTTAATTGCGGCCAAAGAACTTTTATCATGTTAAACACATTGAGATATGTTTCTGCACTTTTATTGGGCAGCAAGCAATATAGTACAGGAAAAACTGAACCCTTCTCCTCATGCGTATCTTTTATTGCAAGAACAACAAATATTTGAGCAAAAAGTGGAGGACACAATAAGAATGTGCCGTCAACAAATAATTCTTTCATGCTTGCACTCCATGTTGCATGGTATTCTCTACCAAATATTAGAATTCGATGTGGATCCACTTGATCTCTTCCGGAATCTGCCAGCAAAAAATTCTCAAATTGAGTAGGGCTGTAATAATATTGCGAGTACACTTCTGGGATGATAATTTCACTAAGAGTTTCTGGATTGGCGGGTGCTTTGCACATGGTTACTCTTACTCTTTGAATGTTTCTCCGCATAACACTGGAACTTGGAAGCATTCCTTTAACCGCAGCTGGTACATTCTCCAAAACTCGTCCTCTGATTTGGGCAGGATTCTCCATCGTTGTCGCGGCCAGGTGCTTCACAGTGGTATTCATTTTTTGCAGAACAACATTTGCTGCATTTCCTACCGTACTACATGTGTGTTCATTTCGTATACATTTGAAAGAACCATCCATAATATTGGTCCATATTCTTCCTTTGCATCTTTCATGCTTGTTTTCGCAGCGCCAGAATTGAATGGTGTTGTTCTTGTTTGTTTTATCCTTCGTGTATAGGTAGCCATCCCAGTAGTACTTTTCGTGACCCCTTTGGCTAAGAACTTTATTTTCCATCTTGAGTCTCAGTAAATAAAAAACTCACACAGACAAACAAAATTACACACAATGTCTTTACTTCTGAGATTAATTCGGAATATTAAGGAAAGTGAATATCACCAGTCTTTTATAGGATTTAGGTACAAGTAAGCAGGTAATTATCAGGTAATCTTATTTTTATTT